AAGGGACTAGGCTAACAATGACGAAAATACTTAGACTGAAACGAGTGAAACAAAAGCTATAGAGCACTTATATAAACAAATCTAGGACAAAGAAAATTACACCAAAACTCGTTATCGGCTATTCAGATCTAACATGGACTGTTATTGGCTAAAAGCACTAGGGGCAAATGTTCATGTGATTGGTTAATACTGTTATAAACTTAGGCTCTTTTTATAGACGTGCGCAATGTGATTGCATGGAAAACACTATCGTATCAGAGATTCACATGCTTTTGGCTAATCCCTAGTCTCCCTACTGCTGTCCCGCAGTATTCACAAACACAGGAACTCCAGTAATAGGCAAATAACTTCCGGGTGCCATCTGCATCATGGGTATGGCGTTACCCTGCATGGCTTGCATGTCGCCTTGCATTGGCACGCCTGGCAGGCTACTGTACATCATGGGTACCATTACAGCTGCACCTTGCTGCGTCATAACACCCTGAGCAGCGGTCGGCTGGTGAATAACCTAGGGGGAAAGTGTTAGGGAAAACTACATAAAAACAAATTTTGTATTGCTTAATTTGTGCAGTCTTTACTTTTCTGCTTGTATTTTAGAATATTTCATGCTGAAATGAGGCAACACCTGAGTAAATGAGTCTGTAATCAATACATACAGCAACAAGCTGACTTTGATTTGCCCATAGGTTGTTTCAGGGTGTGATGAATATCTACTCAGTACCTGTTGCTCCTCGTGCGATCCAGAATCTGAATCTGGCTCTTCTCCCACTTGGTTAAGGCAACAGAAGGAACCACAGCAACACATAACACACCAGAGTGACAGGAGTATAATGAATGMTGCCACGATGATCATAGAAATATATATTGCCAAAAGGATATGGCAATTGTTCCACCAGATTCTAGGCTCAACTTTGGAACATAAACCACTTTTGCGAATTTCGAGTGTCGGCTGTAAGTAAGCGAATGTGAGATCATATATTGCGTATGATTCAGATCCAAGCAGGATAAGAGAGCAGATAAAATATGTCGTTATCTGAAAGAGCAGAAAACAAGAATATACTATGTCTGAGATCCTGTAGAATTCTTTCTTCCTTCTCTCCCTTCTAGCCTTTTTTCCTCCATCCTGTCTGAACTTCCTTTTGTTTTCTTCCGACTTCCGGTAATACTTCCTCGCTTCCTCGCTTCCTCGCTTCCTTCCCTGCCTGTAAAGCTGGTATAGTTTCTTGTAACAGCAAAAAGGGACTCCTAGTCTAGTCGAATTCGGCCCAAGTTACCTAAAATATTTTCTACTGATTTTCACCCCTCCCCTGTTGGTATCTGATAGTCATAAATCAATTTTTATGGACTTTTATTTACTGTACATCATTAGTCCTTCTTGTCTTACCTGGAGCATATTTCGTGAATATTTTGGCTTACTTGTTCTTGCTCCAATTACTCCAGTTAGCTGACTCTAATGTTGAAACATGGAAGTACTTCAGTAATCATCTCACCTGATAATACATTCTCAACAAAAAATAACACAGTCCAACATACCATACCCATGCATTACGTTTGCAATATTTCTCAAATTAAGTTTTTTGGACGTCAATCAAAGTGTTTCAGTGCCATTATCGACAAACATAAAGTTTTAATTTAATGGCATGGGCACTTGTCAATGGAATCGTCTTTATTGACGCCAACTGAAACCTTTTTTTTTTCGCGATTGCAAATCTATACGATTTTACGCTATCTGAGAGCTAGTGTGCCAAATTTAAGAGTCAGAGTGTTTCCATGTTGAATTTACGGAGAACCACAAAGTCTTCGAGGCCACTGCTTAGTATATGATCATTGGATCGTATTAATTCTTGAAGTCCACCTAAACCTTTCTGGGCTCCTGGAGAATCAAATGCATTGAATGATTTTTCAGTTGTGACATCCCTTTGTTAAGGTCAACAAAACAAAGGAAAATTAGACACTGTCAGGTAATCTAGATGATTCGAGTAGGGTTTTGGGGTCACTAAAGTATTTTAGATTGATCGACATCTTAAGTGAGGCATGTTACCAAAACAAAATTTTCTCACTAAGAAACATACAAAAAAATTAAAGTTCATTTATTTGTCAGGTTTGATTCGTGCCATGGTCCTGTACGTTACATTCTACGATATTTAGCTGCAGAAACTTTTATACAAGTGAAGTGCGCATTTCCTAAAAGTATTTTGCATTTTCCGATACATAAATATGTATAAACTTATACCAAGAAAAACTTATCCCGAGGTTGAAAAGAATGAAAATTATTATTATTATTATTATTTAACAGTGCTTAGCTTTCTTAGAGCAATTCAGTATGAATTAATTAACTCGTGTGAAATCCTGCAAATGCAAGTCTTAAACTTCTGATACTACGTTGATAAAATGTATTCTGCCTTGAATTTAACACACACGAAGACAAAATATTTTAACTAACAGTATGCGTTATATAAAGAGTTGTTAAGTTGCTTTCTCACTGGACTCTTAAGATGGCTTCTCTGCTCAGGGTGTCATTCACCACCAACAACTGGATCAGTTTGATTTGTCGAAAAGATCTTACGTATTTCTAAAATTCAAACCGATGTTTGCTTCAAATGTAAAATGCATCAAATATTTTTAATAGGTCACCATAAATTTGTCGCAAACCTACCAACGAAACGAAATAGCTTAGGGCATTATCATTATTTATCGGGGGAGGGCCACTAGAATTGAGGGGAGGGTCATATTTTTTTGAATTCATGTTTGGGGATGGTCACATTAAACTTGGTTCATAAAGGGAGGGTTACATTTTTTTGAATGCCTTCTTTAATATAATATTTTGAATGACAAAAAGTATCACTAGTCATAGATTTTCCATTAAGATTTCACTTTTGTGCGAGCTATTATTCTGCCTGTATTTCACCGCGAGTCAGTGCATATTACACCTTTTGCTGTTCATTAAGAGAAAATGTACATTCATTTGTGCCAATAGTTGTATCAATAACGTGTAATGTACTTTCATCAACACCACAAGTAACA